TACAGTTTCAAGTGGAGATCTGTTTCGTGGGATTTTTTTTTGTGGATTTAAGGTTTTTGGATTACAGTCAAGCTTTTGATAGCATCTCTCACAGTATCCTTCTGGACAAAATGTCCATCATTCAGCTGGGTAAACACATCATGGGAAGGAGACTGAGGGGAGACCTCATCTCAGTACACAACCTTCTCACAAAGTCAAGCAGTGGGGCAGACATGATCACTTCTCTCTGGTAACCAGTGGCAGGACCTGAGGGAATGGCCTGAAGTTGTGCCAGGGGAGGTTTAGGTTAGATATTAGGAAAAGGTTCTTCACTCATAGGATGGTTGGGCACTGGAACAGCTCCCCAGGGCAGTGGTCCCAGCACCAATCCTGGCAGAGTTCAAGAAGGATTTGGACAGTGCTCCCAGGCACAGGGTGTGATTCTTGGAGATGCAGGGCCAGGAGTTGGACTTCAATGATCCTTGTGTGTCCCTTCCAACTCTGAATATTCTGTGATTCTGTATGTACTTGAATACTAATTTTGATGTAAAAGACTAACTACAGAGACAGCTTTTCTTGATGTTATTTAAAGCCACGATTTGCATTTATATTGCTTCACATGATGGAAAGTGTTTACATGGTATTTAAAAATTTAGGCTTGATGAACTACTAAACATACCTGTGGGGTTTGAGGAAAATGCTTCCTCTTTTTGTGTAGTAAGGTGAAAGACTTACAAGATAAAAGAGATTTCATTGTAACATACCCCTTAAAATTTATGGGATATTAAACAGAGAACTAAATGAACTTGAAACAATTCAAATACTACCTAATAGTAAATCAAGCCTTATGGTAGTTTCCTGACCCCAGTGAAGTGTTTTCAAACTGGCATTAGAGCTGAAGTTTTCCAAGAATCTTGACTGGGGAAAGGTATTCAATAGCAGCTTGTATTTAATTTCTTAAAAAAGGAAACCTAACCTACCTAAATGAGCCAGGAGCTTGGGTAGAATTAGGAAGTAGGTTCAGGACTTTCCATATGTAAAAGGGCATTGAAGTTTCAGACCTAGAACATACAATCCATGTTGAGCCCATTGGTGACATGGTGCTCCTCCAAGAGCAAGGACCACGTTCTTAGTGAGCATTATCTTAATTCTTCTCTTTCTGGCTTCAGTTAGGTGGCTTACAATCAGAACTTTAGGCTGTTAGAGTCTCTGAAGTTTTCATATGTATGGTAATACGTATAGTTGAATGATGAACCTTCAAAAGTGAATCTGCTTCTCAGCCTCCAAATGGAATTATGTGAGATTCAGTCACTTCACCCTGGTGCAGGAGCTGTAGTTGTTCAGAGGTGGGAGGGATGGGGTTTGATTAAAATGGATTCTGAAATAAAAGCATTAGTTTTGCATCTTTGCATCCATGCTGATTCAGCAGGGAATTAATTAATGATATGGTTCTCAGCTGTTTTCATCTGTTTTGATGAGCTTGCTGGGAAACACTCTATGGAAACAACCAGCCCTTGCTTGTCCTGGAGAGGAGATGTACCAACTGTGGAGACCACAGTGGGGAAACAGGAAGGAATGGCTTCAGGTGGAGGCACAGTGGGCAGAAAGGAGGCTACAAGAATGGAAGCGCAGGGTGAGCAGAGAAGTCCAAAACCAGAAATATTTTGGTTAAAGAAGAATGGTAAAGAGTGATGGGAAATTGGCCAAATCCACAATGTCAATTCCCTGATTTAAAAGTGTTTGAGAGTAAAGCCTCATGTTAACATTTTGGGGAGAATTTCCACTGCACAGACTGTGGCATTTTTGAGCCAGGTGATGAAATTGCATTCTAAGGCTCATAAGGAGTAAAACTAAAGTTTTATCAAAGACATTGGCCTTGTTTGTCATGTGTAGCCATGACTGTAATCCATTCAGCTACTTTTCTTAATCTGTATCTATACCCGGGATAACATTTTGCCTGGAGCCACTGAACAACACTCATGTTCACTCATGGAGGATTTTGCCTTCCCTGTGTATTCAGGTAAACATGAGTTGACTTGCATGGGATACCCTGCCATTATTGGTTTGCTTCTTTATTCATTGAGAGAGCTTGTGTACCTTTGTCAAAGTAATTTAAATCACTGCTTAAATCATTCAGAAGTCATGTTTATGTGCAAATACTTTCAAACGTGCTTCGTGTACTAAGTATTCATACCTCAAGACATCACCTTCAGATTGTCACAGTGTATTAGCATACAGTGCTATAATGTTGTTGAGGGCTTAGATGGTTTATCCAAAACCTCTGAAGGAAGCAATTTGAGGGAATAAGTCTCAAGAGTATGTGTGGACCAGGGCCTAATTTAGTTTCTGCAAACCTCTTCTTCTCTCCATCTGCTTCTTCCTCATACTTGATATGCAAGGCTGTTGCTCCATTGACAGAGATGCATTTCAAAAGTTTGTTTCCAAATATATTTGATGTGTCATTTTGAGAAAAATATACGCTGTCATGCAATTTCATAGGATATAATGGTACCTTCAGACAAAGAATTTACACAAACATTGCAACTTTCTTGACCACCTGGTTTGATTTCTAGATGCAGTGTCAAACAGTGAAAAGTGGTAGTAGCGTCATGGACACATCAAAGGCAGAAGCCATGTTAGGGTGACAGGTAGAGGTGACAGATAAGGTGAAGAAGACTGTGCAGTGCAAGGAAATAAGTGGAATGAGAAGTCTGAATACATATGTGTACTCTCCATAACACAAGCTTTCAGCCAACAGCTCTCTGCAGACAATCCAGGCTCAGTGTAGAAGGAGAAAGTACCCATGGGTGGTAGACTCAATTGGGAAAGATCAGGAAGCCCTGAAGGAAAGAGCAGCTGGAACGTGTGGTGGTGGAAAGAAAGGGACTAGAGACCTGCAGAGGGAAGGTAAGGCTCTCAGGGTGGAGTCCAGCACAATGGTCTCTGATGGTTCAGTTTTAGTAGGCTGAAGGACAGTTCTCAAAGCCAAGGAGGAGATGGGAAAGGAGATGGAGATGAGAGATCTGGATGAGAGATTTAATTTTAAGATTCATAAGGAAAATGCAGTTTGTGGAGATATTTTACATCATAATTTGTACTGTTTGTTGAAAAAAAAAAAAGAACGGAAAAGAACTGATTCAGTTTCCTCTAAGACCACCATAAGTAGTGATGATATTTTACACTTGTGTTTATTCCCTGGTTACAGATACTGCTCAACAGGATGAACTCCTTTCTACAATCCTTGAGCTCTTACTTTTATACCCAAAGGGTTTCTGTCTTGGAGAAAATAAACTCTTCTTAATCACCACTGAGGCTTCTCCACCCCATTATTTTGGTTCATATTCTTTATTTTTATCTATAGGTACTCATCAGCAAAATGTACCATTGCCTACAGCAGCAGGATTTGTTGGATACCTTAGTGTGTTTTTTCTACTTGCCTTTATATCATTCATAGCATTTTCTATTCTTTTTCCATTTGCAAGCAGCTTGGCAAAGCATTACTGATGTACTATCATAATTGTCTTCCCTGAGAAGAGATAAGCTGAAGCTTCAATAATTGATGAAAGGAATATCCATTTTACAGAATTTTAGCAAGAGTGAAAAAAGTTAAATGCATATGGACAGACACATAGCTACACATACTTTTAATGCATCGCACAAAGCTTGCAAAGGACATGGTAATAGATGACTGTGCAAGCTTCAAAAGGCCATGACAATAGCTATTTTTCACAACCACTTTTAAAGAGATGCTTCTAGGATGAGGTGTTCAACTGCTACACAGTTAGCACAGCTAGATCATGTGGCAGGCTAGAAAAGTGTATTAATTGCAGGATGAATTGTGGATGAATTAAATTGCACATGCAAACCTGGAAATTATCCTGTATTTCATGATTCACTATCTATTTCTGACATGGGGGACTAAATTGTCTTGAACAGAGTCACACGTGTTAAGTATCTGAAAATACTCAGCACACAGCATTTATTTTACGTTCAACCATCATTTTCCTTGCTTCAAAAGTGGCAGAAAATTTGGAGCTGATCCCTACATAGGCTTTGTTGTCTGCATACCCTTCAGCATGCAGAGCTTGGGGCTCAGGGGATGTGCTGCCCCACCACTGACCACCCAGGACTGACAGACACTGCATTGCTTGGGATTTCTCATCAGTGCCACTCATGGGAACTCAACGTTTTCCTGGATTGAAGGAGCCATACCCAACTCTGTGCTGCTCCTCTTTTGCTGCTCAGAAGGACTGGGGAGCTTGTCCCACAATTTGTTAAAGACTCTAAAGGCTCAGAACCTTCCTCATAATTACTGCAAATGGCATTGCATTGCTCACCTGTGCTCAGCTCTGTGCTCACTGCCTCTGGGATACGGAGGTGGTAGCGAAGAGTGACACCCGTTTCCTCAGTTCAGCAGCTTTCCTCCATGTCTAAGTTCATTGCTTTTTGAGATCAATTAGTGAAGCAGGAAAGCCTGCAGTTAACCATTGACATGATTAGAAAACTCTGCAAATTACTTTGGAAGGAGAAGTTGTAAGCAAGCTCTGTGATTGCAAAATGCAACCGTTCGGCACGTCAGAACTGTTCTTGTGTTTAGCAGACTTCACAGGCACTTTTTAACCTGGTTTGAGATCCCTGATATGAAAAAAACTAGTCCAGTTTAATTTCCTACTGTAGCAGAAAGAGGATCCATCTCTTACTCTCTCCCCTCATCATCAGCAATGTAGAGGTTTTGCTGAATTACACCATCCTTTAAAATGTGGCTGTCTTAGAAGGAGAGGAACATGGTTGAGTTTGCCAACTACAGTTTTGTGCTGGATGGTTGGTAGTATGATGTTTGTAAAAGTTTTTAAGCAGCTGAGTGGTCCTGGTTTTGGGGTTTTTTTAAAGATATTCACATGCTTAAAATGAATACATTCTGTCTTAAAACACGTATTGGTTTGGAGATTTAGACACACCCACATTCTGCTGATGGATGTCAAGTCTCTTGCAAGAATTCATACTCCCATTTTTCCCCCTAGGTGGACACCCATGGAAACATCCTGCTGACATCACTGGAGATTCACAACGAGGTGGCAAGCAACGAGGTCACCACCAGCGTGACAGAAGCCCGAAATTCAACAATATCCTTTGACAGCTCAGGAATCCAGTACAGAAAACAGAGCTGCCACCGGGAAAGCCTCGGCAGGCGCTCGTCGGAACGAACAGGCACCCACAGCAAGAGGGGCCATTTACGACGAAGGTCTTCGCAACTGAAAATCAAAATCCCTGATCTAACAGATGTCAATGCCATCGACAGATGGTCAAGGATGGTCTTTCCATTCACATTTTCTCTTTTCAACTTAATTTACTGGCTATACTATGTTAACTGAGTGACTGAGTTTTTTTTTTTTAAAGGACTTCAATAATAAAAAGCAAAGTACTACTTGCCTGCAGAGTTTATATATATATTT